ATTTAAATGTTCCTTTATAGTATATTTGTAATTTATAAGCCTGTGTGTGGCCTATAACAAATGGGCATAACAATTTCTCCGCATATAACACTAGGTAATTATAACCTCTCCAGTTGTCATTCTCGTTTTCAACGATTTCGTGCCGTTAATAATAATTACTATTTAATTCTGATACATGCTGGTTGGTTGGAAGGAATCCACGCACGTATATGATAGATGCATTGTTCTTATATACAAACTGTATACTGCATAAGAACGATTGACTACATACGAGTCGCGACAGCGGTTAACTATAGACGGCCGAGAAATATTTTAGGTCACTGAGCTTTAGGCTTAGTACAATAATATATCTATGTAATATAACTATATAAATGTTCGAGTACTATTTTATTTTTATTTTTTTATTCTCTTATTCTCGGTAAAAAAATTAAAATTTGTAAACATAATTTGTCGTGTCCCGTTTAAGATGGAGATCGAACAATTTCATGGATCAGATATGATGTTAATATACCAATCAACGAGAAATACCGTTAGAGTAAGTATGTTATTATTTAAAATACTCGTTCCTATACGAACTTGCTTACTTTATCGAAGTTTTTCGTCAAAGAGAACATTACTGTAACGAAAAAACAATTCATAAATTATAGTTGAATAAAAGAATGATTCATTTATAATTTTACCAATAAAATTATCATAACGTAATATACATATTACATTATAATACATTTAGTAAAGAAAATATTTAAATGTACATTATGCAATGAACTTTATATTAAATAATATGCATAAACTAATAATGATTATATGAAATACTCGTATTTTCATAAATTATTTATTAATCATATAAAAAAAAAATTCTTTCTTAAGAAAATCAATTAATTTCGGTTTTCAATTAATCAGATTCTAGTTAGAATTTTCTGTTTCGACTAAAAAACTGTTTCTAAAAATGTAGTTTATACAATGCTGTCGTTTTAATTTTTTTATAAGTAATGTGCGTATTATTTATGGGCAGAAATGTTAGTCTATGTGGATTATTTTTACTTGACACACTTTATTTTGGTCATTGAACGCATTTCAATGTGCGGGCATCATATTATCGAATATTTATAGTATTATGTTATTTTTATTATTATTGCTCTTAAACTATTTTATAATATATTATTATGTGAATAACAAATTCAATTATACCGTAGGAAGATGTTTTTTTCATAAGTTATTATTACAATTATTATTACAAATATTACATGGTATATTATAAATATATATGTATTATAAGAATATATCTTGTAATATAATACACTATATTTAACAATATCTATACTAAAAAAAGTATTTTTTTTTTACAATGAATTTTAATCGATTCTACCTTCTAATATCGAGCTGAACTGTTGTAACTATTACAATTTAATTTAATTTGAAATTTGGTGTTCTGTAATTGCTCGATTGAGTAGATAATCGTATACAGGCACTCTATTTTCACGGTCATCAAGGATCAATAGAATATCAGTATAAATATTTCATTTTTTTGCGAATAAAATTTTTTTTTTTTTTAAAAAAAAAAAAACTAGTCCTGCGAATATTTTAAAATAAATTATATTAAAATATACACAGTGCAATTTACATAATATTACATTGGATATGGAATGGGTAGACAACTTTTTTACACATCATAAATAACATATAAATAACGTAGCAGTAAAAAGTGAAATCGGATTGATTATTTCGTTTTAACACACGAATGATACACGGACGCATTAATATTCGTCTCGGAATGAATGGCAATTTTGATTAATAGAAATCAAAAATCAGTTGAATGAACAGACGTCCGTCCGAAATAACCCCGAAAGCTTATACAATTTGAAAAGTATTGTGCTTAGATGTCTAGATATTGTTTGTGTATTGATTATGCGCCGAATCCATGTATATTATTAGACCCGTGAAGCGAGGTGTGTACTGAGAAAATCTTCATTGTGCCAGTAGGCATTTAAAGGAATTAAATAATTGTATCGATAAACCGAGCACGTATTTGTAAACTTAAAGTTATTATGTATACATAGTTATACGTGAATTATGTTTTCTCTGCGGTGACGTCAAACTAATATGAAATTGTGGGAAGGAATGGGATAAGATTAATTGCTGGTTATTATTAGTGTTATAACTTGAGTGTTAACTGTTAAAATATAATAATTTCAAAACTCTTATCGCATACCCACACTGACCCGTCGAAAAAAAGGCTACCCATCTTGGGTTATAATTTCGACGTCATTGCGCGTTCATGAATAACGTGTTCAATCGATGAAGCCCACAGAACAGAATGCCGTGATTCAGTGAATCCGAAATAGATAAATAAAAGCGAAAATCCTTCACATGCGTTCGGTTGATCACAGATGAGGCGAGACGGGCGTACGCTGCTTTATAAATTATATTGAATTTAGAAACAATATTTATGACAACCGATTCTGACCCGTTTCGCGTAGATATAGATTATGTGACGGGCATATGAGCATATGGATACACGTTATTATCGTCGTCGCCAGGTCAAACGGCCGTTAACACGTTATTACGCAGTTTTATGGAGGGTAAAATTTCGCTTCGTCTCGATTTTCGAAGGTCAAGTCTAATTAATATCGGTCGTTGAATTGTTTTCAACAGCAATTACGATAAATTTAAGGAGATCCATAAACCTACGGGACAACACACTATACATATATGTATAAACATTTACGTATATTACATTAGCGTCAAAATATAGAACAAAGAAGATAGCACTTGACAATCATTCCAATTAATGTTCGGAATGAAAATAAAAATAAACACCTAACTGATATGCAGCAGTAGACACCAACGGTCGCTTGTTGAGTGTATCAAATAATAAAAATAATTTGAAATCGCACTGTGCACTATTTTTTTTCGTACCAATCATCTGGTGTTCGCCAAGTATGTGTATTTTTGTTGTAAAACAATTTTATTGCCGTGTCCGAGACGACGAGTGTATGTAGAATGTCATCTTGATGCACGTAAAACATAATGTATGCATATTATATTATATGCGGGGATTCTAAAAAGTGTATTCGAGATAGTCTTGAAGGCAATCCGTTCAACCCGTCAAAATAAAACGATGTAATTCACCAATCTTTACTCTCGATTATTGTTTTTATAGTACGATCGCTTACCGCCGACGATTTACAATAAATCATTACAATCGAAAATCAAAGACACGATTAGCTTCGGCTCGCAACGGCTTACCGGTACTTACGTACTTAATCTTTTTTCAATTTTTTTTTTTTTTATTTCCAATTAAATTGTGTTTCGCGTTCCATCGACTTTCGTGAATTGTTTGCAAGATCATCCCACAATAGTGTTGTTAAACTCGCAACTTGTATATGTACAAACGAACTTGTAAAACCGCTCAGTTCGACATCATCGTTATTACGGATTTCGCGTAATGTCACGGCATTCTCGATTGGAACGAATGATACTGGATGATATTATATAATAACCGTGATCGGTTGATAATAATTGTTGACGCGCAGCCACATTCCGTCACCGTACAATTAATAATAAACGTATGCATGTATAGGTAGCGTAGTCGCACTCGAAACGTGGTAGTACTACAGTACGGTATGATCGAAATCAGACACGCAGTCGTTCGAGATATTAATTCCGCTTCCGGACGATATCATACCGACTATTGTACAGTGTTTGCCATTGTCTTCTATTGATGTCAAGTTTAGCAACATTTCCGTTTTGATATTATGGGCCCACATCAAACCGTTACACATATTATACACGCGCACGGGCGTCATTTGGGGTGGGGCGAAATTATTGTCTTGAGTTATCATTCAATTCTCACACTGTATCTATACAAATATATGTGTGCACATGGTTGTGGAAGAGGGTAGGCCGAGGCCTCTTTCGATCCGTGGCTTTTTCGTTTTACATTAAATATAATAAACATTGGTGTACGTAAAATGTAAATTTGACTGGCTAATACACCGAAAGGGAAGAAAAACAAATGCAATGATCGGGTAAATCGGATAACAGAAAATAATAATAGCTATATTTTATAACTTTGTCAAAGCATTGAAAACGTTTATGGTTATACCAGTTACGAACTGTTCTTGCGAATGAACATTTTCCGAATTCAGTATTGTGAAAACCAAGTTACACAATACCACGACACAGAATAGTTTGGATGGCCCTCTCACAATATTTACTGAGCAAGAACTTGCTTTTAACGTAAATATTGACAGTGTAATTGATACTTTCAAAAGTCTTACTCCCTTGGACAGACATATGGGGAGTTGTACATAATTATGTAGTATATATATGTTTATGTGTTTTAGTTACGTTATATTTTTAAGTATAAATTGTTTAAGTTATAAGTTTTTTTTATGGCTACCTATAATTATTATTATTATTATGTTAATGTTATAATTATTATTTATTACATAAATGTTTGACTCAGACATTTCTTATGTGTCCTCCTACCCACTTTGACAAACAATCATCTTCGAGCGGATTACCAATTATAAAAGTAAGAAAAATGTCAATATTAATCAAATTATATAATTTTGTTACACATAGTAGTACATATTTAACTGGTTTTTATGTATTTTATTGACTGTTGAAAAAATTACAAACTGAGGTACATGTTATAGATACACATTAGTTTGATAAGTTCACTATTAAAGTGCATGAGTCACATCGATATTAAATCGTAAACATTATATTTATCAATGTCCGAAAAAAAATTTATAAAAAAAATAGTATTTCATTGTAATTTTACTTTTTTTTTTTTTAATATTTTATTTTATACATGTCTGTTCCGTTTCAATATTGTTTCCTTCATAAACATTATAATGTACGAAAAATAATAAATTTTAAAAATCGAGAGTACATTCATGGTGTTATGAATAGTATACAAAACACGCACGATGATATTTGAACATATAAATACGAAAAAGTGAGAGCAACGCAACAACATACCGGTCTTAGCGAACGGAGAATCCGTTTTCGAAAACAAGAAAATAATTGTCGAAAAAGCCTCGATGGAAACAAACGTTACGCGCAGTTCACGCCAAGATTAGCGCGCGTCTATAATTATACGCGGCCGGACCGGGACCGCGCGCGCAAAGTCGTCACCACCCCACGCGCCCGCGGACTCGAGTCGGAAGTCGAAGACGGGCGCCCTCGTCGGCCGCGTCAGTCCACGTTCCGACGAACGAGCGACACGGTCCGTTTTACGCGCGCCGTCTCCCGAGAGCCTTTGCCGCCCCCGTCGTCCGGTGTCGGAAAAACTCGCGCGCAAAACGCCGCAGTAACACGACCGCGGTCGTATCGTGATCACCGTTGACCGGATACGCGCACCGCGACTGTTACGTTTGTCGATCGTCGCAATTGGCCGACAAAAATCGGAGAGGGCAAACCCGTGAGAAAAATTCGGTCCGCGGAGAAGAGTTAAGAGAGCGGACGGAACACGAGGAAAAAGAATAGTACCTGTTTCGTGGAACGATAGACAATATTATTGTCGTTACACGCCCGACGTCGACCCACGACCGCTTCACGTCGCCGCCACAGGCGTACGATCAACCGCTCGCGTTCGATGGCCACCAACGATTACGATTATCTGGACTACTCGTATGACGATCACAAAAATAAAAGTAAGTTCGGCCGCCGAAAATTATATTTATTAGTGTTTGGACATTAGGTATATAGTTTTGTGTATCGATATCGTTCCGATTTTTCCGATATTGTATCGTGACGTTATAAGTTGTACGATATCGATTTCGTATCGAAAATATCGAAAATACACGTTTTAAACATTACCCACTCAGTACTTATTGATAATTATTAATTCAATAATTTGCCTAGAAGTGGCAGTTTTACGGGGGTGGGTGGAAGGCGATTGGTGGACCCCCTCTTTGAGCCGAATAAGAACTCAAAATACGAATGAGCAAATCGTTGACTAAAAATCGTTTTGTCGATAATTTTATGTCAAAACTGTTTACTGTTTACTAAAGTGTTTGCTCCTATTGAAGTTTGACTGTTAATTAAGTTTGAATAAAAAATAATTTTTGTTTTCATTTTTTTATTGATACCTATATTTTTATGTTATTCCATTATTTATAAAGTTTATAGAACTTAGAATTACTTCTCATGTATCAAGAATAGGAAAAAAAATGGGATATATATGCAAATTTTAATTACCTATATGCAACATATTTTCGCCTCCCCCTTGTGGCTTCTCAAGAACGGCTCAAGATACTTAGTTAATTGAGGCTAAACAAAAACTAATCACATTCAGGTAAATAAATATAATGATAATTTAAATTTTATAAAGTATTAAAACTATTTTTATTAAAAATAGGTTTTCAAATAGTTAATAGATTTAAATTCGACATCTGTATCCTTGCAAATAAATGCATGACTCTTTTACTAAATATTATTTTCAATCAAAAATGAAAATATAAAATTTTTGCAATACTTCCTAAATTTAATATGCAAATGCAAAATGATTCAAAAATACAGAGTGTGCTTAATATTTAAGTTATTTAGAATATTTTAAAAATATATCCGTAGAACATAAAGATTCTTTTACTATAAGATTTTTTTATGTTTGTGTTGTGAAAATACGAATTTAACTCTAAAAATCTCAACAACACGTAATATCCAAAAGGATAAAATAATAAAGTTTTTCTAATCTTAAAATTTAGCAGAAAATTAAAAACTTGCATTCGCCTAATGCATTTCTAAAACTATTTTGAAAAATATTTTTTCTCCCATAGAAGTTATAAAATTTAAAAATTGTATTAAAATGTCCCTATAGAAATAAACTACAGGCGGATATCCTCTGCCTGTAAACATTCGATTAACTGTAAGAAGAGGGTTACGTACAACTTTCGAAAGAATAATAGTTATTAAACAGCCAGTACTTATTACCACTGGCGTGTAATACATAACTGTGCGTATAAACTGTAATCTTACCATTTGTATATATATGCAATGCATATATGCATTATTATTATGTACATATACGGAGTGATTCTTTTAGAATAAGTCACACTAAAAATAAATTAGTGGATTTTGTTGTATTTTATTATTGGATATATACGTTATTTGTAGGTACCAAAAATGAGAGGTGGAAAAAAGATGCATAGTCTTCTCAATTTCTTCCAGGCTCGAATGAACACACCAAAAAGGGCATAAATCTCATAGAAATTCATTTTACATAAATCATAATTACCATTACAGAAAGAAGAACTTATATAGATATTTTCATATTTCCCTAGCTAATAATAATAATAATAATAATAATATGAAGTTTAGTTTTCGTTATAAAAATCAAACTTTATGTTTACATGTATGTTAATGTACCCAAAATTATTGACAGTTCTAATAGATCCGACAGTTATATACTTTAATATTGTCATGTGAACTCACGATACGCTGTAATCAACGATTTGGACTCAAATAAATTTCAGATATCTTTACTTCCGCTTGTATTTTTACCTGCCGTGTAAACTTGTATAGTATACGCGCACTATATTATACGTGGTATAAAATATAAGGTATATTTTTAGTTTTTAAACGTATATGTGTTGTGTTTAGTTAACTTATTGCGTAATACATGCGTGCATTTTACATACTTGAACTGAAATGACTAGTGATCGTGTTACGTCGAGTGCGTGTGCAGTCTTCGTAATTGACACATGCAGCGAAAGCTTTTGAATATTCTAAATTCAATAACTATTTGATTTCGGATATTTGAAGTGCTCTAAATATACTTTTGTATATATCGTTTTATATACATTAAATCAGCGCTGTAGGCATAAAATGTATTCTTTGACAAATAGAACGATTAACGTATGGACGCGTTTTTTTAAAACTTGAAATGGAAAATTGAAATTGCAAACAAATCACCGCAAGAAGTTTCACTAAATATATATAAAAAGCTTTTTATGGCTGTCATTATTTGGAACTATCGGTGCTAATAATTTATAAGTAGTAATATCCTAAAAGTGCGATCTTTCGAATTGTGCTACAACTTTATACAAACAAATCAAGTTAACACACTATACACATGCATGCCAAGTTCTAGAGTTCTATAAGTAATATATAGATCTATAATGGATCGCAATAAGTCACGACTACCAATAGTCTTGTAATATATATTATCCTCTCGAATTCTTTAAACCCAAAACGAATCACGTTTAATATATTTACTCGATTTTTAATATAATTTTATGAAATCATTAAAATTATTCAAATTTAAATGTCTTTTATGGGTTTTCTATTATGTAGATAATATTTAATTTAAATTCAACTTATATGATATTATTAAATGATAAATTAAAATTATTCCTTTGGTTCACTTGAATATTGACTTAAAATAAAATGTTTCCAGATTTTAGATGCATCTTTCTCTTAGAATAGTTTTTCTAAGAGCAATAGTTGATTTTAAATTAAAAATACCATTAGCGTAATATCACTCACCCATACCTGTACCATAGGTGGGTCCAAGGGGAAGGAGACATTAGGAGGTTGTCACCCCCGTTGGAAAGCAATAATATTAAGATGAAATTTTAGTTAGAAAAACTGCATATAGGTTATAGAATAGATTATAAAATTAAATGTTAATTGTAATATAATGATGTCACTTTATTTTTTTTGGGGTTTAAACTCCCCACAAGAAATTCCTACATACGCCTTTTATCAATTATATATATTATATAATTTATCTTATAAAGTTCTCCGACCGTAAATAGACGCTGAATACGCTTTTGACCAGTATCTACCCGATGACGAGTTTTGCTATTTTATTACTTAAAGAGGTAGTAAAATCCATTACTTAACGTATTTCTTTTTAAACTTCCAATTTATTGTAATCGTATATTATCGTTTACATTAATTACAATTTTAGTAAGGAGCATTGATCTACAGGTAATCAATTAACACTGAACATGTATTATGTTATAAGTTTTTGGTATGAAACTCGATTGGTCTTAGCTATAAAGTATACATAAAGTATTTTTAATAGATTAATAACAGATAATATTGGGTTAGGTGGTGTTTTAATTTTAATCAAGTTAATACATCTTAGGGGAATGCCCGCATGTATGTTTACTAATGATGAGGTGTCGCGTCATCTGGTCGCGGTAAATTGAGCACGTTACAAGAGCGAGGTCATTTGGTCGTCAGCAATTTAATCGCGGAAGGACATAAATAGCGTTAGCTATTGAGGGCGATAACAATATTATACTGATACTAAAACTGCAGTTTCATAGTGTTGGGTAGTGTCAGTTTGCTTCTGCCGTTTGGGATTTAACGTGTCTGCTAAATATATTATTAAATTAATTAAATTAAATTGTATTAATTATTTAATAAATATTATGTCGTTAATGTATGTGTTGAGTCAAAAAGGTGAAAATGCATTAGTACCCGAACATTTTATCCATCAAAAAGAAAAGACCATTTATGAAAAAAATATTTGAAAATATTTAGTATAATTATGACTATAATAATATATGATAATATTGAATAGAGTGTATTTTATACGTCGATTTAATAATAATTTGAAATTATGGTTTTTTGACTAGATTGTATTAAAAATGTATTTTTACTTTTTAATTTGCACTCTCATAATATGCGCTTTTTGCTTACGCGATTAAATTGCTCGCGACCAAATGAATGACTTCACTCTTATGACGCGCGCTAATTTTACGGCAACCAAATGACGTGGAATCGCCAGATGAACATGTACTTCGATGAGGTTTAAAATGTCAACGCTGTAGGTGCTTAAACACTGTAGATTTTTTCTCATAGAGTTACTCTAGCTAAAGCTCTCTACATTCAGTCTAGAAGTGTACACAAAATCTAGAGCGCTCTAGCGGTTGCTTCTCTAGGGTCTAGGTAGACTAGATAGAGTAAACGAAAATCTACAATGTACACGGAGATTCTACACTATAGCTAGAGCAGTCTAAATCTATATGTTCAGTTGAATACACTAAATAAAGCACGTGAATATATTTAAATTAATTATCAACAGTGTTTTCGATATTGTTTTGTTTTGTATACATGTTTTGTTTGAAATTATTCGTACGGGCATACATAAACTGCGCCCAAACGATCTTTTTTTTTTTTTGTAAACTGCGCTCGAAGTTTTATCTATGTCAAAAAGGTATTGTGTAAACTGCGCCCGAATTTTTATCTATATTAAAAGAGTATAGTGTTAACTGCGCCCGACTTATTAACTTATTAAATTTTGACTTATTAAAGTCTCTATGTATATCGCTTTCATTTACCACAGTCTTGGAAAAGAAGTATCTAACAAAATGGTTTAAGTATTAGAATATGGTTAGTTCAATGTTACGGTTTACCATTTCTAAGTCCAGGAAGTATATATGAGTAATTTGTCAATTATTTAATGAAATCAAAGCCTGACGACGAAAGAATGACACGATTTGCGGATTATTTGGTAGACGTAATTATAAGTGAAGAAGCTCAGAATTTACCTGAAGTATAGGCTCTCAAGCATCAGGAGAGCCAACTTTAGCCACAAATGCATGCGAGTATTTTTATTCTCACTTTAATTCTAGCTTTTATACAACTCATCCAAATATTTTCATTTTTATAGAAAAGTTAAAAGAAATTCAAATAGAAA